TGGGGTATAAAGCGTAGTCTCACCCGGGTGTGCACTACTACTTAAAATTTACTTAAACTTTCTGACTTGCAACTGCTTCAATCATGGAAGCAATTTTGAACAAGTAAGGACTAGGTATTCTTAAAGAAAATTTCTAAGGCGAGAGAGTAGAACCAGAAGTTGAGGCTTGTTTATCAGATGGAAACCTAGCTTCCCTATCAGTATCGACAATTGGCAATCACATATAACTTCGAGAACTTCACACAAAATCTTTGGAAAAAATGCAAAAGTTAGAGTGACAATGAAAGGAAAAACTGAGAAATCATGTTTCTACTGAATTGCAGTAGTTCTGGTGGAAGAAGGAAACAAACCTCTGCTAGCCCACAGTCAGAGACAAGTATTCTTTCAAAACACCTTCTTTTGAAAAGCAAACGCAATTCAAGGCAGGTGTTGGCTTGGAAAAGATCAAGCTTTATCCTAACGATGACAAAGATACTGTGAAAGAGAAGATTGCATCTGATGTTCAAGGCAGACCGAAATACTATTGGCTTTCCCTCCCTTTGTTCATGTGGAGGGTTTGAGTTGATGCAGAACTCCCCAAACTGCTGAGATGTGCAATGTATTGATTGCTGTTACAGTGCAACAAATCTCGAAGCCAAGTTAAGAGGAGATCAAGGTAAAAAGGTCATTGTGACTAAACCTAGTCAAAAGAGTGAAAGTTCTTATCCGAGAACTGCGGAAACATCTGTGAGACTGTCAGGATGGATTCATCTGATGAAGATGAAAATCATTTCATACAGTCTGCATTCAATACCTCTAGAAACCAAGATTCTCCTCCCACCCCTGAAAATCATCCACAGAATCCAAATGACATGGACAGACAGAGTGCTTCTACCACCCCAGAAAGTCATCCTCAGACTCCAAATTCCCTTAAAGGCTCTTTGATGTCCACCTGCAACACTGCTGCAGCTGATCCAGTGGTCAAAGAATTTTCTGTTGATGATATAGTGGCTAGAATAGTGGCTTAATGCTAAGCACACAATATTAACCTTGTTGAAATTCTACGATGTCTTCAGAAAGAATTGGTGACTGGGTAACCACCCTGTAAATGCTTGACTTTAAATTTGCGTGACATTTGTGTTATGGTTGGCCTTTGTGCCATTTGATTCCTTTGTATAGTCTTTCTCTCCTGCTGATTTTTAGTTGTTGCATTGTATGCCTTTCGCTATTTACTGTTCATCCCAAGTTAATTTCTTAAGTTTCGTTTAAAGCCATTGGCGTATAGGGACTGATATGTAAGTTGTATTCGCTTGTTTTCACTTTTGTAACTTGCCCCATTTATGCAAGGCAGCATATCTCTTGTTATGATCTTAAGCTTTTCTGCGTGTTATTTAGTCACCGCCTTCCTTTCCTCAGGCGGCTATTTCTTTATCTCGTTTTGAGCAAGCTCTTTCATCTTTATTTTGTATAATTTATATATTTTGTGTTTGCTGTGGCACTTAGTTCATTTATTAGTTCCTTTTATTGTGGTAGATTCATTTATGCTGTTAAGTCGCCACATGTTTAATTAAATACAATTTATCATCTAAGTCCCCTTTTAAATTCGCTTACAGTTTACAAGATTGATTAAAGCTGTCTTTTCTTGGCTCTTCATTGTTTTGATATTCGCTTGCCATAACACACCCAGTGTATCAGATATCACACAGTGTAACACAGTTCAAACAAATTTCATCCTAGTTGACAGAGAACAACTACTGCATACACCATTTGATGTATTAAAATCTTATTGTAGATTATTGTGCGACACTGGAAGCCCGATAATATTTTATAATGAGGTAAGACTACACCTAGCATGTGAAGATGTAAAAGTTGTAAACAGGAATGTTCGAATTCTTACTTTCAAATCCTAAATAAATTTTTTTAATTTTCTTCATTAGTCTGCTTAAATATTATTATAGTGGTTTATATGGGAGAAGTTAAAATGCTGCAATCAATTTATCCATAATATAATTAACCTATTGATGTCCAGTGCACCCGTAAGAGCCCATGTGAAACCACACCCTTTCTACACCTTGTGACGTCATCACTTTTAACCCTGGAGCACGACTTTGAGGACGTACATAAACAGGTTGAAAATATCTTACAAACGATACCAGAATGAGCACAATTGAGTGAAGGAGCCTGGAGAAATAGCCAAAAAACCATGTAACTTTCACCTGGAAATCTGCNNTCAAAGTTTCAATTGAAGGTAACGGTTTATGCACTAGTGTGTATTACAAACCTACAGACTCGCATAATTACTTGTTATATTCGTCTTCGCATCCATCTCACGTTAAGAATTCCATTCCTTTTTCTCAGTTTCTAAGACTTCGTCGTTTATGTAGTGATGACTCTGATTTCCACCACAAATCAGAGTCAATGTGCCAGTTTTTCGATAAACGTGGTTACCCTGTTTCTGTCGTTCAAGCGGGTTACCACCGCGCCCAACTTATTGATCGACATTCAGCACTACAAACGTCGCATAAGGAAGATTCCGACCGCATTCCATTCACTCTCACGTTTCACCCTCACAACCACTCAGTTAAATCCATCATTCTTAAAAACTTTAAATTACTTCAAAACGATCCAGAGACAAGCACTATCTTTTCGCAGCCTCCGCTCATTTCATTCAAACGCGACAAAAACATAGGCAATTTTTTGGTCAGAAGTTCTTTTCAGACTAATGACCAACCAGGCACTTTTAAATGCGCTCGTGCACGATGCAAAACGTGTCCTTTCATTCACAACACTGATAAAATATCGGGACCTAAACGATCCATTAAGATCGCCGATCACTTCACGTGCACCTCCGCCAATGTAATCTATTGCATAACTTGCACTTATTGCAAAAAGATATACATCGGCGAAACAGGCAGAAGACTAGGTGACTGATTCCGAGAACACCTTCGAGACGTGGAAAGGGATGACAAGGAAACATCAAAACCAGTCGCTAGACATTTTAATTTACCTAATCATTCCAAGCAACATATGGCAATCTGCGGTCTTTCCTTACACTTAGGTAGCACAGAAAGCTGTAAAACTCTTGAACAAAAGCTCATCTTTCAAACCGGCAGTCTAAATCCCACAGGGATCAACGAACGCTTTTCATTCCACTAATTTATTCATGTTTTTCTCGTTGCCATGTTCCCACCAATAATGTAGCTCCATTTTTTGCCTTTAAAAGCACACACAACCCACAATTCCTCTATTCGCTCTGACGAAGGGCTAATGCTCGAAACGTCAGCTTTTGTAATCGTTACGGTGGCCAATTTACCATTTCAACTTTGTTGATATATCCAAATTATTTCGTTACTCCCACCAATGCAGCCCCAAACAGTTTCTTTCGAAACTATCAGCCTGCATTCCTTCACAGTTTGACCACACTTTTTGCTTTCGACAAGACACATCCATCAATTCCAAAAGAAAGCTTAAGTTATCTCTGAATCATCACACAAAAGCAGCCAAAGACCAGGCATCACCTAGAGTCTTCTCCTAGCTCTCCCTCTGCAGGCTCCACCGCCCATGCAAAGACAGATTCCAATGCCAGTAACAACGCTAACACCAGTAAGGGTCATCCACAGTCAAAGACACCTACGCTGTGAGAGTTTACTGATAACTCCGACGTTTCCAGCGGACAACCTTCCATGAAAGACAGAAAGCAAAGCAAGGCAGGCTAATACCAGTAAGAGTGATCAACGGTCAGAGAAACCATCCCTGTCAGTATTTACTAATAACAGAAAAGGGCTATGTGCATCATTTTTCCTCTGATGAATTACACCGAGGCATTAAATGTCCTTAATTTAACAACTCTAAGTGACAGACATGCCCATCTATGTCAGGTTTATATTGATAGACTTCGGAATCAGACTCTCTTGCATTTTATGCTCCCTAAACAGGAAGAGGTTGTGCATAATTATAATCTTAGATCTGGCATTAGCCACTCCACGCGTCGTAGTAGTAGGACCAAGCGCACGCAAGAGTTTCTCACACATAAGTACACCTCGTGGCTTGTATAAGTATGCTTTTTAGTATTATTGGATTTATTGTATTATGTTTTAGTATTACATATTTTCTAAATAGCTCTGTAATTCAGCCATTTTGTATATTGCTGTAATGAGTCTTAATAAACAGTCTTTATTTATTTATTTAACATCCACACTTCCACTGAAAGCCCTTTGATGAAACACGGAAAGCAAAGCAAGGCCAAAACCAGTAAGAGTGCCTCAAAACTCACGTTAAAGAAGTCAGTCACCTGTTTTGATCGATTGTACTAAAGACTTACTTTCCTGTAACGGACCTTTGACGCCACCATCCAGAAAACCTGCTTCTCATGATAAGGAAAATAAAGCCAATTCTGCCCCCACTGATTCAGTGCCTGTTTCTAAAGCTTCAAGCAATTATCAATGTGAGCACTGCGGGCTGCAACTTAGGAGCAGAAACTGCCTCTACAAGCACAAAATGAGTAAGCCCATGGCTGAAAATGGCAAGAAAGCTGTTCAAAGCAAGAATGTCTGCAAAGAAAAAGAATCCAGGTAAGGCAGCACAGCGGCACCACCATCATAATTAAAAGATAATGAAAATTTCATCATCATCTCTAGTAATATTATAGACAGGAGCCCTTGGTTAACAAGTTAACTCAACTTTTTATTGCACCTTTAAAACTTCATAAGTTGTACTGACATCTACTTAATTATTATCAATTAATTGACATCTACTTAACTATTATTATTAATCTAATTATTATTAATCTAATCTACACGTTTTACAAGATATCAACATTAATTGCTTGTCAAGCAAACTTTCATGTTCATGAAGACCTTTCACGCCTGCAAATAGCAGGAGCTAGTCGGGGCGGGCGGGAATTAGAGGTACAGCAGTGGTGATAGATTACAGATAAAGCAAAAACATAATTTAATAACATTTCTAGAAAAAGACAGCCACTTAAAATTCGTATATATAACTGCATCACCAAACAAAAGAAAATAGAAACACTATAGAATGTAGAATATAAATTATAAAGCCAGTTCATAATTAGCAATTTTTTGAAGTAGAAGGGGCGCTTCAACATAGTAATCCAAGGCAGAAGATAAGACGTGATTCTTACCAAGAAAAATAACTGTTAGTAACTACTGTGAAATTCGGTTACAGGAACAAGATGTTTTCAAAGATGGTGGACTCAATCGACCATCTGAACTCTGAAGACAAGCATAATCTTGTAATGGAGAGCCAGACTTTCCAGTGCTGGGATGACTTTTTGAAGTGGAAAAAAATGGAAGAACAAATGAAGAAAAGTTAGCTCGTCAAAACAAGGCCCGATAGAAAAACAAGGAGGCATATGGTCTCATGATTCTATCGCAACAGATATGGTACAATTATTTCTGGCAGCAACGGAAAAGGGGCAATGAGATCTCAAGGGAGTTCAAAAACTGGATGTTCATGCACCACATTTATCAAGGCAAGAATTGATGCAGCCACAGGTGAGGTGACAGCGGACTATTGCCTACAACACATTGGGCACAAACAAGAAATCGCATACTCATGGTTATCTGCCTACATCCGCTCTCACATAGCTGGGAAACTGTCCCAAGGAGTCAACATGAACTCTGTTTTGGACTTTGTCAGGGATACCCAAGCAGGACCTCTCACAAGGGACCACCTAGTTACACGTAAAGATCTGAATAAAATTAAACATCAGTACAACATAGATTTCATTCAAAAGGATAGCGACGATGCCACCAGTGTTGCCCACTGGGTGCAAGAAATAGAACACGAGAATTACAATTCAGTTCTGTATTACAAGTCTCAGGGGTAGGAACCAAATGAAAAGGGAATTGAGAAAAATGATTTTCTGTTGGCAATGCAGACGGAGTTCCAGAAAGAAATGTTTAACAAGGATGGATCTAAATTAATCTGCGTTGACGCAACACATGGTACCACTGCTTACGACTTTCAACTAATAACTGTGTTGGTCATCGATGATTTTAATGAGGGAATACCTGTGGCATGGATGATAAGCAACAAGGAATCGACTGATTCCTTGAGAGTCTTCTTCCAAAGTCTCAGAGAAAGGTGCAGAGATGTCATCACCCAGTTCTTCATGAGTGATGATGCAGATGCCTATCACAATGCCTGGTGTTCTGCTTTTTCAAGACCTGATAGGAAGCTGCTCTGCAGCTGGCACATGGACAGAAGCTGGCACCAAAAGCTGAACAAATATTTTAAAGACGAATAACAGCAAGCAGAAGTGTATGCAGCCTTAAAGAATCTTCAAAATGAGACCACTGAAAGCGCATTTCAAACATCCTTGCAGCAGTTCCTTGCATGGCTGAAAGGCATCTCCCCACTAATGGCCTCTTACTTCGAGAAGGAATACGCCTCCCAGCCGCAAGAATGAGGGTCTTGTTTCCGGGAAGATCACCTGCAAACACAAACATGTTTCTGGAAAGCTTCCACAGAACTCTTACGGAAATCTACCTGGAGGAGAAACAAAACAAACGCGTAGATCATCTGCTGTTGACTCTTTGCAAAATCTCAAGAGACAAGCCTTACGAACAGTTGATAAAAGCTGAGAAGGGCAAGGTTACCCAACGTCAGTGCAATAATAATAAACGGCACAAGTAGGTGGACTCCATACCAGAATCGGTACTCAGACAGGATGATGGTTCTTGGAAAGTACAATCGACCACAGATACAAACAGGTTTTATCGTGTAAGAAAAACTGATTCCTCTGTCGGTGGCTGTCTTCTTCCAAGCTCTCGTAGTGGAGCCTGTACGCATTCTTTAAAGTGCACTTGCCAAGACTACACAGTAAGAAATATTGTGTTCCCATGTCCACGCAGTCTGCCTTAAAGAACCTGAAGATGAAAAAATCTCTCCAATGGCAGACGACATGGTTGATGATGTCGCGCAGAAACAAGAGTCTGGAAAACATAATTCAATGGGAGCAACATCTAAAAGATGAAAAAGATTTGGAACATCTTAAGCGAAGTGCAGTGGCTGAATTAGCTGAGCTGACAGAACCTTTTCCACAAGCTCCAAATAAAGAAATGATTCATTCAGTATTGTACCATATTCATTCAGCTAAGTCAGTAGGACGGGGACTTTCTATTATTGGAAACGACCACCATTACCTCCAGACACGGTCATTCCCCTCTAACAAACTAGAAACAGAAGCAATTCTTCCCAACAAAGAAAGAGACCAAAGTAGAGCGGCCATGAGTAACTATGTCAGAAACAACACGCCAGGAGCTGGAAGATATGGAGCCCCATGTTTTGCGCCTTTTGCCTCAGGGAATATCCACTAAATTTCACGGATGCTCCGGAGTTAGTGGATTGGATAGAGCGTGGAAAGTGCAATGTGTGGGTTCATATTGCATGTGACTATATAGAAGGTTATGCTAACTACATTTGTTGTATGTGTCGTGTCTGAACACCTTACATTACTGACTGTGACTGGCAAGCCAAGGAGCTGTCGAGCCGCTGAAGTATATACCTTCGTCGTGCTATAAGTACTAAATCCACAAAATGATTCATCTTTCTATACTCTCTTTCATATAGTATTATATTTGTCACGGGGAAACTCCCCCTGTGTGACCTTGAATTAAGAATACTTGAACTACACTGTTTAAAGTAAACATTCAGAAATACCCTGTAAGTAATACTCCTTCTTTGGATGCTTGTATTGATCCTACACAGTTTTTTATGTAATTAATATTTTCCTGTACTTAGAATTGTAAACTTATCTTAATCTACAGGAAATTTCATAAGGTAAAGTGTTGACATGGGAAGGAACTTCGCTTTAGGCCTTAAAATCACTCAGTTTAGTATTTCGTTTAATATCAATAATTTCTTCATGTTACTTGTTCTCTGATGCCAAGTGGTATATTTTCAACGAAAACCGTTACTTACCTACATCTTGACCAATTTCCTTGAACTTACTTTGAATGGAAGATCTAAACGTTTAGTAATTTCCTTTGTGAATGTTGGTATTGATAAAATTTGACTTAGTTGTCCATTTTGGTGTAAACCTTAAAGTTCACCCGCCATTCACAGACGAATTCACTGACGAGTCACAGAGCCCCTTCACTTCATTTACATTTACATGTTATTAGGTCAGTAAAATCATCAAGATATCACACCAACCGTAAAAATAAAGCAAATATATAAATAAATAAATAAAGTAAGTAAATGAATAAAATACAACTATGTTGATGCTGAAAATAAAAGTTAAATTATGAAAACTATATAAGCTATGTACAACTATCATTTACGAATAAAGGCTGATAGTTTCAAAAGAAACTGTTTGGGGCTGCGTCGGTGGGGGTAACAAAATAATTTGGATATATCAACAAAGTTGAAATGGTAAATTGACCACCGTAACGATTACAAAAGCTGACGTTTCGAGCGTTAGCTCTTAGACGAAGGGCTAACGCTCGAAACATCAGCTTTTGCAATTGTTACAGTGGCCAATTTACCATTCCAACTTAGTTGATACATCCAAATTATATTATTTAAGAAGGCTGCTAACCTATGTTTAACAATTTCTAAGGAAGTTGATGAAACAATGGTCTCGGGGAGGCAGTTCCAGTCTGCTATAGTTCTTGGAAAGAAGGAAAATTTAAAAACATCTTTACTTGCCAATGGCATGCGAAATTTAAATTGATGGCTTTCCCTGGTGTGACTCTGGAAGTGCAGTACTAAATATTCTCGATAATCTATATCAATAAGACCGCGAGTTAGCTTATACATAAGTACTAACTGAGACTGCCTTCTTCTCATTTCCAACGTGGTCCTTCCTAAATTTTTGATGATGTCAGTAACACTAGCACATCTACGATAATTCTGCCAGTAAAACCGTGCTGCTTTACGTTGAACCCTTTCCAGGGCACTGACATCTTTCTTTAAAAACGGATCCCAACCTGCACTCAAGTATTCCAGCTTCAGCCGTACTAGGGATGTATATGCAATTTCATTTACATTCTTTGGGCAATTCCAAAGGTTGCATTAGATTGAACCCAGCGACTTATTTGCTTTAGCTGTTATCATGGAAACGTGGTCTGACCACTTAATTTGGATATATCAACAAAGTTGAAAAGGTAAATTGGCCACCGTAACGATTAC